TAAAGCCCATGGCCAACTTCATTCCAGTCTTCCTCAGGCAGGAATACTGCTGCTCCTCACCTGTGTCCAGGTAAGGTCAGGTGAGGACCTGGGCGTGGCCCTGTGTGGAAACAGAGGCATGGACCAGGTGACATCTCACACCATCATCCTAGAAACCAGGAGATGAGCTTCTGAGTGGACCTGCTGTTGAGAAAAGCAAGGGATCAGTATCCTGACCACTTCCCCATTCCTAAAGCCTTGGGAACGACATGAGCAGGAGAACGAATGTCACACGAGGTGAGACAGTGGCAGGTCTTTCAAGGTGATGTGGCCACACATACCTCCCTACCTTTTTCAGAGTATAGATGCCCGTGAAGGTGACCTAGGTCCTAAGGATTAGCTATTGATAAAGTCAGTGCAATGCTAGTGAGAGGCTTTGAAAATCACGCAATACCATAGTGTGCATAGCCTGGTGTCGAACAAACGAAGGTTAAGAAATAGGAAACCCCGGGGCTGGGGCTGGGGCTCAGCAGTGGAAAACTCGCCCAGCACATGTGAGGCCCTGGGTTTGATCCTCAGCACCACATAAAATAAATAAATAAAAGGAAAGTATTATGTTCAACTACAATTAAAAATGAATAAATATTTTTTTAAAAAACTAAATAGCAAACCCAAGCCAGGGTGTCAAGAAATTTATTATAGATGATATGGCACATGAAGAATGAAAAGAAAACAAGTGGGATTTGTCCAGACGGGGCAAAGACCAAGGCAAACATTGCCAAGACAAGTGTAATCAAAGTGCAGAAAATAAAGTGCCTCTTAGAACACTTCCAAGGGCAGGCGGAAAGGCTTACAGCAGAGTAGAGCATGAAGCCCTGTCTCCTGGAAGGATTGTGGACTTGTCCCTTTAAACAGCAAGCAGCCTTGAACAGGATGGTGCTGATGATTTGCTGTGAATTCTTTATGGGGATGGCAGAGTCTTTTCTTGGATCTGGTGTAAGAAGAGAATCAAGAAAAGGCCACAGGGATTGGAGGCAGTGTTTGGCCAGAGGAGTCTGGGCACGTGTGGATGGCTGCTGCTCTGTGGTAAAGGGAGGTACACACATAAACGTGTCGTCTTTCTCCACTGCAGACCTGTGTCTCTGCGTACACAGTCTCTGTGTGTGCACCTGTGTCCCATAGATAGCTGGATGTGGATAGTGTGTACCTCCACTCATTCTGACTGGTTTCACCATGGCCATTGTGGCCCAGCTATTAATTCCAAGGTCTGGGCAGTTCTGGAGTCCACCAGTGTCTAGGGAGAGAAGCCCCTGCCCGACTGAATCTAACGCTGGCTTGTCTACATCGGGCTGGATAAGACTGATTTTTGGATAACCCCCCAGTCGTGACTGCCTCTGCCGCCATCTTGTCCTAGAACGGATGTACAAATTTACGTAAAGCCTGTGACCATGGAGAAGACGAATGGAGACCTGGGGACGAAGGGCAGACAGGGGCTTACAAGTAAGAGCACAAACACATCTATGGGAAAGGTTAAGGACTATCCTTCTCAAAAGTCACCTGCTTCCCTGTGTGCAGGCACGGGGCCTAGGATTAAAGGATTTCACAGCCTCTTTCTTGTCCTCCTCTTTCTCATGGGTGGCTGTCACCCCTCCTCCCAATATGACCCCAGGAATTCAAACCTTCACCTTCATACAAAGAGCAAAGCCTGCTGCTCCTGCTCCACCCTAGGAGCCCCCTGCCTGCCCCCTGCCTGGCTCTGGTACCTGTCTGCACCAGGCAACCTCAAAACAAAATCCAAACAAGAGCCTCTCTTTCCAGAAGGGAATGTGAATAATAATAATAATTATTATTATTATTATCATTATTATTTTGTAAGAGCCTCACCTTCATCCTGTACTCACTAGGGCACGGGTGTCACTAGGGAAGACTCCACTGTGTTCCCATCTCGTCACGCTCTTCTCCCTCCCCTTCCCTCTCCCTCCTCGCCCCCTCCAGAACTGGTTGTGTGTTACTTCATTGATGTTCACGGTACGTTTATAACCGATTGTCATCACTCTTTGAATTTATAGTCACAAATGGAAAATGATACGGATCACGTAGATTTCAGAAGGTCCCACCTCAGCAGGTCCCAGAGCTGAACCAGGTCCCTCTTCCGAGCTCCACCTGTGCAGATGACTAGGTGACTGGCTCGCAGGTAGACAGGTGAGGGACCTCGGGCTTTCTGCACTCCCCAGGCTCCCTGGGCAGAGAGTTCTCCTGAAAGAGGCAGAAAACGGAGTAGACTGAGAAGTGAGGCGCTCCCGGGGCAGGTACCTGCTGGAAGATGAGGTGGAGAATGTGGCGGGAGTTGACCTCCTCATCTCATTCCAAGTCCCCTTCCAGGATGGGAGCAGCTTCCAGAACCCCACGGAAGGGAGCGGTGAGCATGCTCGGTCATCACCCGTCAGGTGACTTACGCGGGTGTCATGAGGTGGGTCCTCCATGCCCAGGCCCTGTCTCACCCGCTGAGGCAGAGAACGAGGCCAGGATAAAAGGCTCCAGAGAGACACCTCCACACTCACCTCCCCAGGAGCCCACACCCGCCTGCCCGTGACCACAGTAAGTGACCCTGGGGAAGGGGATAGGGGCACCAGGAGGACCTTCAGAGGAGATCGGGGCGGGGCTGAGCAGGGCTCTGGGGGCTGGAGGACTCTGAGAGCAGGGGACAAGTTAGCATGACGACAGGGGAGGGCTACAGGGACTCTGGGACAGGCCTGAGATGAGGACAGCCAGGTGACTGGGCCCTGGGCTCTGGAGAGAACAAGCTGCTCTGCAGTGAGGGGGACCCCTCAGAACAGGGGACACTGAGCACAGAGCCTGATCCTTGGACCAGTGCTGGGAGGGGTCAGAAATTGACTGAAACTGCAGCCCTATCTCCGCAAAGCAAGAGCTGACACCAGGGCAGGGCACCCGTGGCCGCTCTGGCTTAGGAGACCCACACAGCCATGGGTCGGGCACTCCCTCACTCACTTCCACTTGACTAGGGGACCACAAGCCTGAGGCTGGACAGGCCAATTGTCGCCATGAGCAGGTGGTCAGCAGAGGACATCTGAGCTCTGACCTGACATGAGGGACTGGGGCTCAGGTCAAGGGTGCAGGAGTTGATGGGCTTATCATCTCTTCATTAGCCGAGTGGCTGGCTGACCTGATAATTTTGAAGATCCTTTGCAGTACTGAGCTGCAGGGAAAATCATCCTGCAAGTCACGACAAGAGGGAATGACTGCTTTTCCCTTTTAAAAGTTATTGACCCTGTCATGACCCTTAAAGGGGACATTTTCAGAGTTTGAAGACATTTGAGATAATTTGCTCCTTTCCATATAAATCTTTGACTCATGGACACATTTTTGTGATATTGTTTGGTCTTAGTTTTCTACACTGGTGCATTTGTCTGACTTACAAGGGCATCTGAGCTTCCATATTGATGATGAGGATGAGGATGTGGATGGTGGTGGTGGTGGTGGTGTGAGGGGATGGAGAGGGTAAAACTCCTGGAGACGCTGTTTCTATGATTCTGAGCGGTGCTAAGTGGTCAGAGTGGGCAGGTGGCCTGTGTCCTGGTCTGACTGGTATTTTTCTCTCCCTCAGCTCCTGAACACCCTCCTGCCAGGATGTCCTGCCAGCAGAGCCAGCAGCAGTGCCAGCCCCCTCCCAAGTGCCCCCCCAAGTGCCCTCAAAAGTGCCAGGCCCCCAAGTGCCCCCCAAAGTGCCCCCCTAAGTGCCCTCCAGCCCCTTCCTGCTGCAGCGTCAGCTCCGGGGGCTGCTGCAGCTCTGGGGGTGGGGGCTGCTGTGGCTCCAGCTCTGGGGGTGGGGGCTGCTGTGGCTCCAGCTCTGGGGGCTGCTGCAGCTCTGGGGGTGGGGGCTGCTGCCTGAGCCACCACAGGCCCCGCAGGTCCCACCGCCACAGGCAGAGCTCTGGCTGCTGCAGCCAGCCCTCAGGGGGCTCGGGCTGCTGTGGAGGGGGCAGCAGCCAGCAGTCTGGAGGCTGCTGCTGAAGTGCCCTTGACTTGGTCTTCCTCCAGAGGCTACAGGAAGTGCTGAGAGGCTTAGGGAAAGCTTGGGTCTGGCCAGGAGCATCTGTCCAGCCTGGTGGGCACAAGCCAAATTCTTTCTCCTCACATGCTGGGAACCACCGTCTCCTGTCTGTGCTGTCCACCTGAAGCCCTGGCCCAGTCTCACACGGCATCTGTCATTCTGCTCTGTTGGCTGAATTGAAATAATAAAATCTGAAGTCTGTTCCCAGCTGACTATAAGACTAATCACTTCCCTGCTTTTGCGACCATTCCCCTCCCACTTCTGTTGGTAGCTCCTCTGGCCTCGGAGGACAGAGGCTGGAGTTTGTCATCAGTGGTTTAAGTTTGAATTTTTGTAGGCTTGATTTTTTTCTCTAATTGTGTGCGTTTCCTCTTAACCAAAGCCCTGGAGCAGCAGTGATTGTTATCATGGCTACTTCAACTTCTGGTTGCTTCCCAGTGTCTAAGTCTGTCCTCCCCAGACACAGGCTGCAGGCAGAATAGCAGGAGGAAAGCTGGGCGGGGGCTTGGGGCTGGAGGCCACATTGCCAAAGGAGGAGAGAGAGCTTAGCCTGACAGGTCAGGGGCAAAGCCAGGAAACCACCACCTCTTCACTTCTGTGCTCCCCACTCTATCTGTTAGTTAATTCCCCTGACTCCTCCTCCATTCTATGTTTATGTATAATATACAAACAAATATTGTGTGTGTATATATATGCATGTATTTATACACACATATTTTTTATATATTTACATGTGTGTATATATACACATACATTATATGGAATGAATCCATATATTTAAAATTTTAAATCACTTAATTGATGTATAAATTTCATACAGTAAAATTCACTTATTTTAAACACACAACCTAATGAGCTTTGCCAAACATACATAGTCATGTAACAACCATCACAAGCAGCATCCTAGATAGGTAGTTGATGGTTTGTAGAAAATCTTTAAAATATTAAAAATAGTAATAGATTCATGAAAATATGGATATATTTGACCATATCACAATTAAATTTTGAGAGACAGAAAACACTACTCAAAGATGGAAGGATAAAAATTAACCTGGGAAAACAGAGCACGTGAGGTGAACAGTTTTTTCCCTGCCATGTTCTCCTTCTGTGATGTGCCACTTTGTCACAAGCACAAAACAATAGGGCCAGTCAGTCATGGATTGGAGCCTCCAAAATTGTGAGCCCAAGTCAACCTTTCCTTCCTATAATTTGATTAGTTTACATATTGTGTTACAGTAATGGGAAGCTGACTAACCAATATCCCTTATAACATAGTGTTCACAGAAATTAAGAATTAAAAAGCAAATACTACTCTCGGGAGCTGCCCTGGAGGCTGACACCTTTTACGTCCTGATGCCAGGTCACAGTCCCTTGGGCGTCACCCAGCTCGGATAACAAGGCATGCCTCCAGGTGCAGGCATCACCCACGGGGATGGAGCTGCATCACCTGATCCTTTGTAACCCTGCCCCTTTGCCCTTTTGGGGATAGAATGTTCCATGGATCCTCCCCTTGTGTGTCCCCTATATAAGAATAAAGAATTCCAGTGACTCTCTTTCCACAGACCCTTAAATTCGCAGAGCCATCTCCAGATTATTGAAAGGTTACTTCTGTGTGGCTGTGTGCTCTCTTTGTCATGGTCATGAGTTATTGGAACAGTCAGATTGTGTGAACCCAGAATTAAGTCGCCAGCTAGGAAAGATGGCCACATATTATGATAAAAGATTTGATGGAAGTCATGAATGATTGATTTTAAAACAGAAGAAAAAATAAGAAATGTCAATGACACTAAAATTATATTGTTGAAGATATTCAACTTTTAATGAAGGGACATAACTCATCTTTTTGGAAGGGAGCTGTTAGATTTATAAAACATTGGCAAAGATTCAAAAGGCTCACAAAATTCATCGTTGACAGGAGCCCAAATCATCACCTGCTCTGTGTTATAGGGATTTTGGGTGATTTTTATTCATTTAACAAGTGTTTATTGGGTAGATAATTAAAATTGTGAATTGTTATGGTTTAGATGTGGTGTCTCCCAAAAACTCACATGTAAGACAATGCAAGAAGTTTCAGAGGAGAAATGACTGGGTTGTAAGAGTCTTAACCGGATCAGTGAATTAATCCCCAGTTAATGGGGATTAACTGAGTGATAACTGAAGTCTTAGGGTACGGCTGGAGGAGGGGTGGGAATTGGGGCATGGCCTGGGTGTACATGTTTGTATCTTGCCAGTGGAGTCTCTCTGTCTCTCTCCCTCTCTTTGTCCCTCTCTGCTTCCTGATCACCAGGTGAGCTGCCTCCCTCTGCCACACCCTCCCCTCAAGCCCTGAGGAATGGAGCCAGCCTTCCGTGGACTGAGACCTCTGAAACCATGAACCCTCAAATAAAGTTTTTCTCCTTAAAAATTGTTCTGGTCAGATCTTTTAATTACAGCAGCAAAAAAAGCTAACTAAACATAAATGAACACACCTTTTTATATAAAAGTGGTTGTGTGATTTTTTTCAATGACATAAAAATATAAAAATAAAGAATAAATGGACAAGAATGTTCAGTACAGTGATTTAGAAATCATAGGAGAGTTCAATGTATGTGAATTCAAGATGCCACAAATCCAACACTGAAAACATGATTTTAAAAGACACTATCTAAAATAACAACTGAATTTTCTTTTAGACTTAATTTTTAAATTTTCTGTGAAATTTATTTTAGTTTTTCCAACTTGACTAAGGTATAGTTGCAAAAAATTTTATATATTATACAGCTTTCTAATTTGATATATGAATACATTGTGAACTATACATCAATAACCAAGCTAATTAGTATACCTATCACATCAGTATGTGTGTGTGTGTGTGTGTGTATGTGTGTGTGTGTGAAAAGCCTTAAGATTTCCCGACTTTGCAAATGTCAAGCATGCAATACGCGTTTTTAACTATAGTCACGTTGTTGTACCCAGGCTCTCCAGAGTTTGCGTCTCCTGAATAATTAAACCCTTGTCCCTCTTGACCAACATTTCTCCAGGTCTTCCTCCCCCAGTTCCTGGTAATGGCCATTCTACTCTATTTTTCTGGGAGTCTCACATTTTTAGATTTCCCCATATAATTGAGATCACAAAGTGTGTCTTTCTTTGTCAAATTTCAATCAACATAATATTCTTTAAGCTTATCTGAGTCATATACGGCAGGACTTTCCTTTTATTTTTCTAAAGCTGATATTTCAGCACACACATGCACACACACACACTCACACACTCACACACACACAGAGATCCCATTTTGTTTATCCACCCATCCATTGACAGACATTGTCCACACGGGGGCTGGTATGAATGAACTTGGGAGTACATGGTCTTCAAAACACTCACTCCTTTCCCCTTGGTTTTATACCCACAAGAGCCTTTATTGGATCTGAGGTAGTTCTATTTTTAATCTGTTACAATCCTTCCTATTGTTTCTCAGACTGATTACGCCAATTTACATTCCCAGCAACAGTAGGCAAGGATCCCTTTTGTCCTCTCCTGTCTCCTCTTGTTACCCCTCATCTTCAGTATAACAGACATTGTAACAGGCGTGAGGTGATGATGTCCTGTTGTGCTTCCATCTGCATTTTTCCTGATGGTCACTGATGTGGAGCACTTTTATATACCTGTTGGCCATTTGTATGTCTTTTGAGAAACATCTATTCAAGTCCTTTGCCCACTTTGAAGTTGTGTTGTTTGATTTTTGTCAAGGAGATATAGAATCCTTTCATCATAATTGTTAAAAGAGTTTGAGAAGATGGAAGAAAAACCCCCAAAGATCACCAATTTGTTTGGTAATGGCCGTGGAGCACATAGAGAGGACGAATACTCAGTTGGACTCTCTTCTGATGCTATCTCAGCCGCGTTTTCTCACGTCCTATGAGATGGTGAATGTTTGACCACATAAAAGAGACACTTTGACAAATGGAAATCCTCAGAAAGTCAATGATTTGCTAGACAAGACGTTGATATCAACTGGACATCTAAGCCAGTAAATCCCAAGCCAAGACTTCATTCCAGTCTCCCTCATATGAGTAAGCTGTGGCTCCTCATCTGTGCCCAGGTAAGACTCCTCACCTGTATCCAGGTAAGGTCAGGTGAGGACCTGGGCGTGGCCCTGTGTGGAAACAGAGGCATGGACTAGGTGGCATCTCACACCATCATCCTAGAAACCAGGAGATGAGCTTCTGAGTAGCCCTGCTGTTGTGAAAAGCAAGGGATCAGTATCCTGACCACTTCCCCATTCCTAAAGCCTTGGGAATAATATGAACAGGAGAATGAACATCATGTGACAGTGGCAGATCTGTCAAGGTGACATGTCCACACATACTTTGCTGGGCCTGTCTCAGAGTGTAGTTTCCTATGAGTGTGACCTGATTTAAAGTACAGCTATTTATAAACTGTAAAGTCGATGCTCAGGCAAGCAGTAGGCTTCACATTTATCTATTGTGTGCATAGTCCTCTGTTGGACTCATGGAGGTCCAGTATAAACCCCAAGCCAGGATGTCAAGGAATTCGCTGTACTCTCGTTGGAGGTCACATGAGGAATTGAATAACCCATAAAAACGACGGAATTGAGTGGCGTTGTCCTGGCAGGCAAGGGCCAGGACGCTGTGGCAGGAACAGACATTATTCAAGCTCAGAAAATGATGCAATTCAGCTCAGAACCTTTCAGTGAGTGTGGGTGGCAAAGGCTGACAGCAGAGGTGGAGCTGAGGCCATATTTCATAGAAGGGTTTTGGAATTTTTCCCTTAAGGAGCACGCAGACTTAAACAAGACTTTACTAATGACTTAGTTTTTCTTTTTCTTTCTCTCTTTCTTTTTTTTTCTTTTCTTTTCTTTTTTTTGGTGGGGGGGCAGTGCTGGGGATTGAACCCAGGGCCTTGTGCATGTGAGGCACAAACTCTTCCAACTGAGCCATATCCCCAGCCCCCTACTAATGACTTAGGATTCATCATTTCTGGGGATGGGAAAGTCTTTTCCTGATTTTGACATAGGAACAGAATCATCGAGCCTCTTTTATTCTGGTTTGGGCTCTTGTCCCCGGAGAGCAAGGCAGCACGTGGACAAGCAGCCCTGCCTCTCAGCTGCGCAGGTCCTGTGAGCACAGATGACATACTGAGTCAGAACAGTTCCCAGGACCAACCCTCAGAACCTCTTCTTGGAGCCAGGCCTCCAAAGCCATTTTTTTTT